TTCGATTTGGTTCCGAACTGTCATTTCTGAATGTTTACAATAAGCTTATAATGTTGGAGTCGTTTGAAAGCAACGCACAGACGCTACAGATAAGATAATCTGTCCGGAGGTGCGATCCCGGAGTCATAAGCATACACGCGCACGACGTTAAGACCACTAGATATGTCATCAGGAGTGATGTGCTCATTCAGTCGCCGATAGTTAACATTTGGACGCTTCCGAAAATATAAGTAGTCATGTATCGGGATTTAGTGTGTAAGATTGCTTGCTCGACATAACTGTTAACTATACGTTGGAAATAAGGGTCAATTGTATGGCTAATGATGACTTAACATGAAGTACAACTAGAAAATAAAGTTCAACAAACAGATAATTTAGTATTTTCATTTACTAGTCTTCGTTTGCACGTATCGACGTGTAAATTGTGATGTTGTTACAGGTCGATACGGATGATTGGAGTAGAAGTATCTGCAACAACGTAAATCAGAGGGATACCATCCGCACTGACTGAACTAGTCTTACTAGGAATATACTCATAGGTTTATTTTTACGGAGCTGCCAAACTTACTTCAAACCAAAATCAGTTTGATTCTCAAGATGTAGATACTTCTACGTACGGTGAAAAACAGTTAACTCACTCGATAGAGAAATAAATGGACTTGGAGGACCATCACAACGCAGAGAACTAACAAGAACTTGAGCACTGGAGACATGAAACATTTCAAATATGGCAGGAAGTATATAGTGGTGGGCAGAGTAAGGATGCTCAATAACTAGGTAGGTAATGGTGATGGACAAAAACTTACGAATATAGACTCGGGCAATTGGAGTTATTCTCAATGAGCTGCTGGAGAACACGTGGTGATATGATAGTGGCAAATAACAATGAGCATATGAAATCACTTAATAGATCACCACCAACAAACTCCTTGAACAGGCCTCAAAAATATGTCCATTAGTGAACGAACACCGCAGTATACTCTCTTTCCTTATCATTAAGATTTGACCACACTTAGAGTGCTTTCTCAGCCGAAGTAATCACAGCCTTTTTAACGGACACCCTAAAAACGACACTTGACAGGCACGTACTCATTTGTGAGTGACAATCCTCCCTCTTGAACTAACTGTAACTAGTGAATGTGTGGCGGTAAATACACCCTCGAAACAAATATTTTTGCATGACTCTAACTTTGATGCTGACCTCATCAGTTTTACTGAACCCAACCTAGCTAAAGTGGATGGTCACATAACCTCACCACATCATGGGTATGTACGCCGTGTTACGCATTTCTTGCAAATATTAACCAGCTTAGATAAACGCTTCTCAGAATATTAGCATTTTTCCAGCTGAGTTCGAACTCATTCATCCCTGACTAAGTTGGTATCGCCTGATTATAAGGATGTTGGAAATAAGAGCGTTGTTAAACCTTGAATATCTGTTGCATTTCTAGATGGCTAGTAACTTACTAGCTGCTATCATTTACACATGTCATTAGCTTGTTTCTATCTCGCCAATTATTAATATCATTGTTATTATTTCAGTTTTCGTTTTTGTTCTTCTCACACCACCTGCTTAATTATTAAACAATTTGTTTACTTATTTACTTCTTGAAACAGTCTACAACTTTTAGCTTTCGAATTTCAACTTTATTATTTTTTGCAGTGTGAAGATGCGACAGGTATTCGGAGTTTGACAACGCTTTAACCAGTAACACCTTCTAATATGAAGCGTACCCACCAGGTGAAATCAAAAGACAGAAGCGAGGAGGTTCGAAGATATATTTGATAGGCTATCAATATATCGAGGATCGTCCGAACTAATCTGGCTGGCGATTGCAGTAGATGTTGAGCACGGTGTTCCCATACGTGATCTGGTGCGGATGCTTGACCGAGCGCCTTCAGCTAGATGAGTCCATTAAAACTATTGTGATCAGCATCCAATGTCGAAAACTTACAGAGCCATTTATTTTGGGGATTTATTTACAGCAACAAGTATAACCAATTAACCTTCTACCTGTTCAGGTGATAGCGATTGGTATCCGGAAGCTCTATTGCGCAGAGACGAACACACTCGCCTATATTGCAAGATGCACATGTGCATCTTCTTCAGCAACGTTTGTTCGGCTATTGACAGTGAAAGCAGTCGTCCTGTGAATTCTGAATAGTAAAAAAATGAAAAGTCAAATCGAATTCTGATAAACATGTCTCAAGAGACAGAAAAGTACTTTAAGCTAAACTTACGGTTATGTTCGTTAAGACTGTTGACTGCAACTATAAAGCAGTAGGGAAATTATCACTTTAAATTAGTACATACCTGCTCTTGCTTCCGTCGATTACGCTTCATCAACTTGTCTCTGACGTCATGGAAATAACCTTGTGTCGCGATGTCGTAAAGCTTCGCAAAGTCTTTTTCATTAACGGAGGATGACAAGAAGCGATTTGTCAATGCACCTGAAGTTTAATTTATAAGTATAGGTTACTTCGTATGCAGCCATAAAACGTCGTCAGGAAGGTGCTGTAACAAATGCACATTGTAAACTAAGTTTTCAGACCCATAACACCATTCGTATTCCTTAAGAAAATTCTTTAAGTCTATTTTGACAGAATCTACAACGGTTTTTTGTAATTTAGGATGTGCAAGCAGATAAATGGATAACGCCATACGCCGGAAATTAAGATACAGAGGTTGCGGCAGTGCTTTTTGAAGAATCACTGGTCCTAAATACAGAAGGAACAATCTACATTCCGAAGCTTTCCAAACGGAAACGAAGTCTAATGTGCGGCATTTGCGCTGAAAGTCTGACGGAGTACTAGCCACGCAACCAGATATTAAATTGTTTATGTCCCTAATTGCACATGAGTTCATGTTAAGCAGTCTTCTGTGTGCAAATTCTATCCAGAGATTGGCTAGCTTTTTGGTGACACCTAGGTAAACCATGTGCATAGGATCTAAAGGAAAAGTGATCATATTAATGGAAAGCGTTTCCATAAATGAATGGCCTTGATGGTGAATAGATTGAGTCTGACGACGAAAGCTGTCATCCGTTCTTAAAGTATATTCACCATTTGGAAATGTCATTCTGCCCTCAAGGCGTCTACCCAGTACAGTACACCGATCGAAACCTGCCTTGGCATTGTGATTAACTGTGTACCTAATTGCAGAACGAGCAGGTGCGTCACATATTACACGGGACAACTGAATAGTTATGTATTTATTAAACTTAGTACTAAACAGACCCACGTCAGTAATTTCTTTTATTTCAGAAATGGTGTCAGCAGATAATTCGTTGAATTCTGCCGGGTTACTATTCCCTCCGTAGATCCCTATCATGAACACATCACTACACCTAGGGGCTATGATCTGTCCTAATATCGGCCATAATTGTTGATTTGAGCTTCTAGACATAGATAGTCCATCAACATTATTATGAAAATGCAAAGTATCAAAATCAAAATTACACAACCAAAGTTCAACATATCTTAGCAGATTGGTTTTCAATCCGATGTGATAGTAAACCCCACTGCTAATAAACTGTGGCTGGACACTTGTACACGTCCGTAGAATGCTTCTGATGCTCCTTGGTAAGTCCGGAACCAGGTCTCTTAAATCATTCAGAATTTGATCAGCATCACTGATGCTGAGAGAGGTGTTCATAATTAATGACATAAACACGTTGTTGATCTGTTCTTTGCGATCAAGGGACTTTTGAGAGCATAAAATAACGTCAGTAGATCCTACAAAAAATGTATTCGCGTATTAACTTTATATACATACCATTATTATCTGGAGGCCTTTGATAACTGTAGCTAGTGGATGGTGTCATATTTGGAGTCTCATTACTAGTAATTTTTCTCTCCACTGCTGTCAATTAAACGTGCACTACATAGAAAGTCACTTACCTGTGATTGTGCTTTCACTAGCAGACTCACTAAATGAAAGCAAGTTATGTTTTTTCATGAAAGCTATTCGTATTTTATTCCATCGTCTGTTATAAGTCGATCTATGACAACCAAGAACGCTTGACAGGGTAATAGTTGCCCTTCGTCTACGAGCTCTATCGGTGACTTCAATGGAACTAATGTTATTGGACTAACAAGGTAGTAAATTGTAATGAACATGAAAAACGGAGAGCACGTCACTCACTTGCATCACGTTAGTTATTTGTGTTGGATACCAAGCATGTTCGAACAATTTAGCTAAACAAAGATTAAAGCCAGTGAATATGAGTGTCAGCCTAATCACTGCGTTCGTATTTTGTTAATTGTTTTCATGACAATAGTGATGTTTCTTTCATAATCTCTTAGTTATTTTTTGGACGTTTATGAAAACATAAAAACTGGATGCGGCATATTGAAGAACTATACGTAACGTATTTTTGTCTACAAATATCCCCTAAATACACGCCGTAAAGGCGAAAAAGCGACATTTCCCCTAAATAACCGACGTAAAGGCGAAAAAGTGACATTTCCCCTTTATTTACGCTTTCGTTCCCTTTATTTACCCTTTTTCCCCTTTATTTCTCCTTTATTGGTTGATTGGGCAAATACACAAATAACTAACAAACTTGTTAGGATTAATGAAATCGAGTGGCCAGAGTACCACCAATTGGACATTGCAAAGGATTTTGAACCGTTCTTAATTAGCGATAATAGAATGTAATGAAATCGGTCAGTTCATAAGAATATTGGAAATATTGATTATTATTGAAGGTCGCCTTAACCCCTCTCTACTTGAACGTAAATTTCGGGGTGCATTTGGATCTCGTCGAACCTTAGTTTTGGTTGTTAGCTTAATTCTGTTTTACACTTACGCCATAGTCATTGCACCCATTTTAACATATATAGGTATCCATGTGTTTCTGAGTTATGACTGAAGCTTTTTGTATTATACATCATGCTTGTCATTACATTTCTACACTGTAATGTCTGACTGCAATAGAATTAGAGTTAAAGATTGAGTTTATAGTCATGATCAAAGGTTTGACATGGGTTGTGATATATATATATATATATATATATATATAAACTACAAACTTTCTTCTCATAAGGAGTTATAACTCTGATGATTCAAAACTGAAATACAGTTTCATTAACTGTGTTAAAAAACATGTCCCTCGTGATTTTCTCCATTTTTGATCACAAATCACTCATGTTTGTCTGGAGATTTCTCAGCTTTGGTTTAAAAGTAATCTTATTGGATTAAGTTTGATTTGTGAAGTGAACTAACATGAACGCCTAAGTGTTAATGAAATTAAACTTCACCAAAACTTCGTGTTATATTTATTAACAGTTAATCAAGTGCCTTCCCATCTACCAACTTGGCGTTCCGACATCCTGAAACAAGAACTGGACTAACAGTTAGTATTAAAGATTGATCTGTAACTACAACGGTAGATGTTAGTCAACTCTGAGAGTAAATTTGTTCAACGAAATACAAGCCTGAGTTCCATAAAACCCTCCACCATTACTAAAATTTTTGAATCACTTGTTTTTACATATCATAAGAGTGTGTTTATAGTTCCAGTATTCATGATGCTCCCTACACAAAACGCAGCATTCATTCCAGAATAGTCTCCGCGTTGTTTTACGTCCTACAAGCACTCACAAGCGACCCGTCAATCGATGGTTCAATGGTTAGGACGCTCAACTTTTGGTCGCTAAGTTCCGAGTTCGAATTCCGCTCCATCTACTCCAGTTTAAGTAACTCGACAATACCATTAACCCTCACACTTAAAGTTAACTCATGCCAAAATACCCAGTGGATGAGCTAATCGGACATTTTTTAATTACTAACGGGTCAGTTTGTTGCATTAGCGTTCTACTTTATGTAACTGATTATTGGCAATCTAAGCAAATAGTCAATCAGTCATACAAAACGTGGAACCTGGCATATGTGTAGAACGGCTCATGTTGACGTGCTCCATTAACATAGCAATATGAAACTGTCAGATCGAATCCTAATATGGTTGGAATAGTGTGTTGGTGATAGTAGAAAATATTAGGTATCGAAGATCTTAATCGAGAAAGTATACATTAGTGAAATAAAAACTATAGAGAGGTATTACGAATTTAGAGACTCAGATGCTAAGCGATAACTAAATAAACTTGAAAACAATCTGTCCTGTCTAAAAGAAAATATATACAAACTCTTTAGAAGGTACTGAAAATGTTTCGGCGTAATCAATAGTCGCTGAAGGTTCCGTAAAAATAAAGGGATTCAGAGTTACCATTACGTTGACTAAAATGTATTCATATTGTGGAAATTTGTCAGACGAGTAATCAAATTATTTGAACTACATCGTGTGGCGCATATATATCTAGTGCCCCCTTGTACCAATATTTATGTGTTCATATAAATAAGACTACATACCTAGTGCACTACCGACATCATAATATAAGTAGGTCATGCATCCTCATGTCACTCCGAGTCTTGCTACTGATAACTGATTCTACCACTTGTCAAATGATTTAATTGGATGGGTGACCATCTCTACTATTCATAACAGTACCCGCTCAATAATAATAATAATCATTTTTTTGTTGTGTCCTACGAATTAACTCCTATCACGGAATTGCTGCTTAAAGTTCACACCTGATTTTAAATTAAAACATGGTACTATGAAATGTTTTTTGAAATGTAAAATTTATTCTGAATATTAAGATATTTCTCCTACACCGACCTTTGTCACGACGCTTGTAATTTGATTTGTGGTGTTTTATTCCAAACAATATATCAACGTGGTCACGTTCCACATTTTTGAAGTTAATGTTTTTGTTTTAGACGGATTCACTTGACTAAGTATATTCACCATAGAGGAAAGCTTTAGCGATGGATAACTATCAGTCGTTGTTACCAATTCTTGCAGCAGTTCTCGTGGTATGGAGTATTTTACTTGGAATGTCTTTTCATCAAATCGATGAAGGTTAGTGCACTAATAAAAATTTATAAAGACAGGTCATGTTGGTGTCTATTACCGTGGCGGTGCTCTACTATCTCAGACCAACGGACCCGGTTATCATCTGATGATTCCCATCATAACAACATACAAACCTGTTCAGGTATGAATCGCAGTTTTTCGAAATATTTCGTTTGACAGATTACTTTACAAACCGATGAAGTAAAGGATGTTCCTTGTGGTACAAGGTAATTTAGTAAAAATTAATCGCCTTGATTTGTCTTATATAGCTAAAAGCCAAACTGTGTTATCAAAGTGTTACTCGATTTAATCAAGCTAATCATTGAGCTATCTTAATGCTATTTTGAATCCCAGCCAACTAGTAACATCTGTGGGCACTAGTCTGTAAATAGCGTTAACCAACATATGAAAGCTTTAAGAACCGTCTATTTTTAATACTCAGAATACTTCGAAAACTATCGCATCTCAAATGTGCTGCAACCGATTCTTATAATCGTAACAGCCACGTTCACTTGGTGGTCATGCTTGTTTATTGTCCTGATATAATTAATATTTTATGTCCTTAAACAGTGAAAAACGCTTATAGAGGTCTAAGGTGCATCTTAGCTGTGTTTTTATTTAGATCTTATTCCTTACTGTCCTTGGTGTCATGGTGTGACCTTGAAAATTTCATGTTTTATGTGACGTGTTATCCTGTAGTATTGGACATTTTGTGTTATAATAAGTACCGAATTCAGTTACGAAAACAGCTTAAGATGGAGTTGAGGTTTGGCGGTTAAACTTCACAAATTCGGGGTCGTAGCTACGAACTTTTATGTACGTATATGTATGCATTATCATTCGACCTGATACAAAAAAATATGACTTAAACCTGAAAAGAGAAATCTAAGTTTTCTTAGTATTCCGTTTTTATTTTGAAGTCTGACCATGATGATAAATTCAATTAAAAAGCAATGAAAGCTAAAACAAAAAATCTACAAGGTTTGTAAATATTTTGTCTTTTTATTGATCTCATAAATGATACTGTTTACATATTGTTTGCATATATACGTTCATCTGATTATTACCTAAAAAATATATCATTCTCTTTGTTGTAAATTTCCAGTTTTATGTTTAAAATTCACCATGTAACCAGAAAACTAGTCTGTTTTGAAATACCAGTACTTGTGTACACTTTGAAGCTGTTGTAAGCTTTCATTCTAGAGTTGATTTAATTAGTTGTTACAAGTCTAAGTTTTGCGTTCTAAAATGATGACCGAATAAAACCATGATCATGATTATTGTCTAATGACCGATTGAGGAATGTTATTCTTATTATATAATGAGTCATTTCTAATCTAAATAACACGGCGTAATGTCTTTATGTGTAGTAGTTAACTCTGAAGTTCCAGTTAATTAAGATAATATATTCTTACATAAGTAGGAGGCACAAGTTTAAATAAATACAATACATAAGTTTCAGGTGCTCTGAAGATTATCTTGTAATTGCCCAGTATTTATTCATACTATATTACATCAGTTTTGGTTAACAAACAAGCAATTTCAGATGTCTAACTAACTCCGATGCGGTACGTAGGTTGTTAAACATACTGACGATAGTCCATTTATATTTTTACTTATTTTTACTGTACTATTAAATTAATCAGTGTATCTTCATTGTCTGTCTTTGTTTCCTATCTTCCTTAATATAACCAGTGGTGGTGTTGTCATTTATTTTGATCGTGTTGAAGTAGTCAATTATTTGGCGGCTGAAAGTGGTATGTTCAATGGTTTTATTTATTTAGTTAGTCTATTTTGTTCAATAAATTGAGAATCTAAGGCAAATCATTTGGCTGTTTAAACAGATGCACAGTATGCACAAGGGTTTCAAGTATTTCTATCAGTCCCTGAAATACACTTAGTGTTGGACTCTGATCCAATTTAGTTAGTTTTATTATACTAATTAAATCGACTAAGAAAATTAACTGTTTTAAATCTTTTGAAATGTAGCAACAATCCAGTCCAGTTGTTTGCTAACCATCATTGACTAATATTCAAGCATAAGTAAATTGCTGCTAATCGATCTGGTACTTTTAGACATGAGCTTGGTAAATTTGTATGAACCTACACCAAGCTATTATCAAATGATATAACAGAAGTTGGAAAGACATTCAAAACATAATTATGATGCAAATAAAATGTGATGAGGTTCTCTATAAGGATTTATTCACGTTGTGAATTATTAATCTTTTCAAAAAAATTAATTATAAAAATTTAATTGTCGCTCATTCGACTACTTGAAGATCATAACTTCTGTCACAATTGTCTTCTTCCAATAAGTTGATTTCAAAAAATTGTTTCGCGTAAAGTTGTACTAGATTACTGATCGATTAAATAAAACGATCTGTAAATTGTTTGAATATCGTCATAATTGGTAATATTCCTTTGATGAAGTATATTTCAAACTATGAGCTGCCAATCTGTTTAGAAATATTATTATAGAGTCATAAACTCACGTAAGTTAGACAAACAGTAAAAATCCGGTAGGGGTGTACTATATTGACGAGCCAATTATATTTAAGATAGCGCCTCTTGGATTTTCTTTGTGAAATTCAAAACGCAGTGACGGATGGCTCGAATCTCAATGGAAGCTAAGTAAAAATTTCCAATGTATAGTTATCAGGATACTTAGAATTGAGAAATATATCTGTTTTGTAAGCACACAATGAATATGATATGGTATGTAAGCTAAATTACAAAAATCATCTGCTCATGATGCAGATTTTATCTGATCGACTGAATATACTTCGTTCATTTTTCGTAACATTTTGCAATATTTGAAAAGCTTCAGCTATTCACTTTTCTTTACAGTTGAAATGACGCTGTTGAACTGTTTGTTGACTTTATTTATAGATTCTCGAGTTCCATAGGATTATTCAGAGATATTTTTTTTGTTCGCATTTAGGACTCTTCAGTATTAAATGCATCAAAATCTATCTGTAGGGACAAAGCGGTGTCGATGTAAACGGGATCTTTCGATGAGTGTTGGTTGCCTAATGGAATGCTTTAATTTTATAGTTTTAAGATTCTTCAGAGTTCTGTTCACCCTAGTGATAAGGTGTAACTACAGTATCAATCTATAGCATTTGATTTGTGGTTCAACAATCATTTCGTAATAGTACATTTTTGATGACTTAGAAAGTCATCTCATTAAATTTTGACTCTTGCTAAGGTACATTCAAGCCACATAAATTAACCTAATAATTCTATAGACTTCAAGAATTTATAGATTCAGTTAGCAATGACGGTACATGGCTTATTAACAACTGTCAAATTGATGTTGAAAATACCAAAATAATTGAGAAAGATTTTACAGTTATAAAGGAAAGAGAACGACTGAAGCTTTCCATGTATTACTAAACTCAGCTACGCTCAGTACAAAGGAACGCTTAACCATCCATCTAACTTGAACCATTTATCCAAATAGCTATACTTAATTTGTTCTGATCTTACACCATCAGCACATACTCTACTTTTTCGTAGTACAAATTTCTCATTTTTCATAAATAAGATTATATCTTATGCAAAATCACCTTGACCCAAATAATGTGTTTGGATTGTACTGCTCGGTAATTAATTGGTGTATTTTAAAAACATTAAACAGAGTTGGATAGTGGTTAGGAGTGGAATATAGGATATCCATCTCGTTCTATTTGTGATGTCAGCTAGATGTGCCTGCACCTCAGTGTTAGTATTCATACTGGGACTTCAGCCCAGTATCTTTCACTTCAAGTACTCAACGCATCATCCATGTAGCTACTGGATCAATATAGCCAGTAACTTGTGCAATGGAGATGAATCTTCCCTTTGATATTAAGAAAATGGATTAGTCTCTCTTTAAATATGTACATCATGTGTAGATTCCAAGTGCATCCGACTGACAAGTCACAAATAGAAAGAAACGAGTCCTCTATATTCTATTGCTAACTACTATTCGATTTTGCTTAATATGCTCTTGATAGCTGCACCGTCAAGACAATTTTCATATACACTGTGATTAATTGCAGTCCTTAACATTAACGAAAAGATGCAAACGACCTTTAAAAATGAGTTATTTTAAAAACTGCTTTCCCTTTCTCCAGTTCTATGTTCTTTTTGTTGTCTAACCCAGACATTTGAATTGAATAAAGTAAGAATGGTCGTGGTGCTTTAAAAACAATATCATCAAAATAACTCCATTGAATTAATGTACTTGATTTATTGATTGAAAACTGTTTTGTAGTTCTATTATTATGTTACGAGTGTTGATCAGTTATTATTTTAGGTAGTACATGTAAAAAAAGGACTCATACACTAATCGCTAAACTTATATAATTGACTGTTTTGGTCATCATTCACAATTTTGGAAAACATGTTTTTAGAATGTTTTCGTAAGATATTTAGCTAGTGAAAAAAAACTATTTGATTATGTAATCCATTTCTGTGTGCTTCTTCTGTTGTATATTCGCTTTCTAGTTCATGATATTGTCAAAAATTATACAGCTGATTATGATAAAACACTAATATACAATAAAATTCATCATGAACTAAACCAATTTTGTAGTATACATACTCTACAAGAAGTGTACATTGAATTATTTGGTAAGTTTCTTATTTCTGTAATTTTCGAGATGTTTTTTTGTTTGATTTTTTTAAATTAGTAATACTACCTGTAAGACTTCAAATTATGCAGTTTTTCTATTATTTTCGGTAATAAGTGATAGTTCTAAAATATAAAAAATTCTTCGCTAACTTTTTCTTATTCATATTTCCCCATCGACCTCTTCTGTTATCTATTTGGCTATTATCGCCTTTAGTTTCCTAATTTTGTTGCCTCGAGGTTGTTTCTGCCATATAGACAGAGTTATTGTACTACAAGTTTGACTTTTGCTTTGAATAGTAAAGCACTAATGTGGAATTTTTATAGACAACAGGTATCAGTTCTACATGTGGTTTCAGAATTGCCCCTATAGTTATATTTTTTGACATCTGGTGAGCGAACTTACAGGCATAAACAAATTAGAACCTAGCACATATATGTTCTTTGGTCCAAGTTAGCATATCTGATTAGTGGGGCCCGTTTGGTTTGACGTCGGCGGCGGGCTCACCACTTTTTGTGGGCCCGTTATTTTTTTGTCATCAATTTAGATCGTACGTTGTTGTCGAAGGGCTCTCCACTTTAGTGGCCCGAGATCTGACTCCAAATAGATCGTATGAATGATCTTTGTGGAAATATACATGCGCCTTATCCTCGTATATAATCCAGTGACTTAAATCGCGTTTGTTAATAACGGAATTAAATAAGTCAAATAACGAGAATGGACTTTTGAATACATATATTTTGTATATGAAGCGATTGGAATAGAACGAAGCAAAATGACACGCAGTGGAGATGGCTGGTAAGCCAACCCCACCTTTAACCAAGCGTTAATCAATATTTATAAGTACACAAAAATAAGTTACAGACATGTGATGAATAGGATAAGAAGTGAACACACGCCTACGCGCTCATGTAAAAACAGTCAAGATATTGATAAGCGAATAATTAACAAGGTTAGAATGTGACTCAAGTAGAATTAATAGAATGGGCTGTCCGAATGTTAGAATAAGGTATTTGGGCTTAACATAATAACAGACACTACTAGTGCAACAAGATTGAAATTGGATGAGATCGAAATAATGTAAAACCAATGTTATAAAGAATGATTAAACCTTGATAGCATATTTTTACGAGACAGAGTAAAAAGATACGTATAATGAGTTACTGGGATTCAATATCGAATGGAAGGTAAAGAGTGAATGCATCTGTGCCATCGCAAACGATTTTGAGCCATGTTGCTCAGAATCAATCACTAACATCCATCGACGTCTTGGACGATGGGCAGAATTTTTCGAAGGGCAGTTCAACTGGCCTGCTGCTCCGGCACCATCGGTCAGACTGTCCTGCCCTCCATGGCCGGTGACGACTGATCCACCGAATGAGGCGGAAGTCTGCAAGGAACTCCAACTCTTGAAACGCTACAAATCACCGGGCCCAGACGACTTGCCTTTGGCTCTTTTTAAAAATGATGGTGACTTTCTGACTAAGGGACTGACGACGTTGTTTACAAAGGTCTGGGAACTAGAGTGTGTACCAACGTCATGGAATAAGTCGTAGTTGTCCTTATCTTTAAAAGGGTTCACGTCGTTCCTGCAACAACTATCGGGGGATAAGTCTACTTCCGATTGCGTCTAAGCTATTGGCTCCCGTCATACTTCGTAGGTTGTTCAAAAGCCGAGAAAGATTGACTCGCGAGGAGCAGGCTGGGTTTCGTTATGGTCGAGGATGTATTGATCTTATCTTCACCCTCCGCCAAGTGTTAGAACACCGTCATACTTATCAAAGGCCAACAATCGTAGTGTTTTTTTAACATGAGGGCTGCCTTCGATTCGTTGGATAGGACTGTTCTCTGGGATTGTCTACTGAAGAAGGGTGTTCCTCAGAAGTTTATTAACATCCTAAAAGCCCTATACACAAACACCTCAGACAGAGTGAGGGCATACAACCACCTTTCTCCACTATTCCATTCAAGTAGTGGAGTTAGGCAGGGTTGCCCAATCTCACCATTCCTCCTCAACTTTGCCATCGATGACATTCTGGAAACAGCTCTGATGGATGTAAGTAATGGCGGTGTAGATCTGTTGCCTGGAGAAAGACTCCTCGAGGTGGTCAGTATATGACATGGTGTTGTGGTATGAAAGAAAGCTGTAAAGGTCTGGCTTCTGTTGGTCCTTCACGACTCACTGGCTGGGGTCCGAGAGATGGTGTAACACAGTGGCTAGAAACGTTATCAGATTTAGCTAAGAATAGAAGCCATTGGCGATCCTGCTGTAACCTTCTTTTACTTTCTTCGTAAGAGTGGTTGCTTCTTCCTCTACTGTAAGATTTCTTCTGATTGTACCTTTTCTTTTCCTCCATTATTACTGCTGTTACACTACCTTACACTAATCTGGTCGTTATTGTTCTCTTTTTTTTTTTTAATTCCCTATGCTCCTTACCTTTTTTCCCCTTCTCTTTAAATTCTCATTGTTTTGTGTGACGCATATATATTTGGTGCCCCCTTGTACCAATATTTATGTGTTCAAATAAAAAAATAAGATAATAAAATGTTGTTTTATAGTTTTTCGTTTGCTTTTCATACTTCTAAAAAGTGTGCGACAAAGATACTATATCATTTTATTTTAATAGATCAAATAGATGAATTTTTAAAGCGAACATTGCAAGCAGATCTAATTTTAATGGCTCCCGGTTTATATATTCAAGCGGTACGAGTTACGAAGCCTAAAATTCCTGAAGCCATTAGACGCAATTATGAAGCTATAGAGGCTGAAAAAACAAAACTGCTAATTGCTGAACAACATCAAAAGTTAATTGAACGAGAAGCTGAAACTGAGCGTCGTCGTGCAATAATTGGTTAGTTCATTATTTTTTTCATATTATTCCAAATACAAATGTGTTTCGATAATGCAATGAGAAGACGAAGTTTATAATAATTATGCGATATATTTGCGCAATACATTTCTAACAATCTGATCACACACATACTTAAGACATTTTTATATGAAAATTAAAAGGTCAACTAGACAGGTTAAAGGTAAGCCGTAACAAAGAAAATAATAATATTAAAGTACACAAAAACAATGTGATAACTACTCTGGATAATAAGTCAGTATTAAGGTTAAGTGTTAAGACAAATTGTTTTTGAACGCATAAAAGGTATTTCAGTCTCGAGATTTATCAAAGGGACTAATTGTTTCAAATTTCTGAAAAGAAGACTCCCTACACATGCGTTTATCAATTTAAGAAAGCTGATTTATCTCTTATTTAGTGGTTTCATATCATTTTCTACTTGAATTTATTTCATTTGTATCATACAAGTCTCCCTAGCATAGAACTCAGATATACTGTGACAATGGATTGGATTCCTTTTATTTTTGTACAATAACTGTCATTCAGTGTAAATCATGTTGTCGCCTTTGTTTTATAACAAGTGACAAACTACTCATGTTCTTTTCAAATTGCTGTAACCCAAAGTCTATAGACCATTAGATTTAATTTTTACTTAGTTAGTAATATGACCTCATATGGCACACCTTCGGAGTTAGATATTTATGGTCAACCTGTAGAATGCATACAAATATTCTTATTTAACGGTAGAGTTGCACATAAATATTCTAAAGCTAAATGTCGAAATTTTCTAAAAACTGCGTTAGTATAATAGCTGGTCAAATAAACATTTTCAAACCTTAAATTCCAATGTTCACGGATCACTTGTCAAATGAAAAGCATAATCCTTTGTACAAATAAGAAAAAAACAAGCAGTACATGACTGTTTAGACCGATAGTATCTATAATTAAAGATACAGGTTTATCTTCTACATTTCAGTAAACAGATTAACCATTTAATAATAAATTTTCATAAAGTAACACACAATTAAACCAAACGAAGAGAAACACTTATAAATAGAAAAGTAAACTGAAATGTATCAGTAAGATTATAACAAAATAGAATAAATGATTTACTGTAACAGAGTAATACAACTTGTGACGATGAAAATGGGAAAATAGTTGAATGTAACTCTAAGTACGTTTTATTAATAAGTCAAATTGTAAGTAAAATATGACATGAACTTTATTTTGCATCCGGTTAACATCAGCCAATGAAATCTCTCATTCAAAAATATCTTCTTTGAACTTTAAGAACTTAAATGAATCATCGGTCTGCTTTAGTCTTTTAGATAAATTGAATCATTATTTCACTTTATCAAAGTTTTTCCAGCAAAGAAATTGTTTCTAACTAGTTTGTTCTCAAAACATTACAATCATATTTTTGTGTATCGCCGTATTAATTTATAAACATATTCTATGTTGATTACCCAGAATGTTAAAATGGTTATTTCTGACGAAAAAAATAAATAGAACATAAGATTTATTAAGCATAGAAAATACATGTAATTCTTAGGGTAAGCAAATTAAATGTGCGACGCGTTCACTGCAAGTCCTCAATGGGAAGGTTCCGATCATTGCTAAAAGTAGTCCTTTACTGTGAAAAAAATAATACCCTCGTATCCTGTGATTTTCTGTGGTTTTTCTAGCTGAAGTCGGTTCGTGATATCAAACTGCAAGTTGACCGTTCTCCTCAAACCCCCCTTATTCTAATAATAATAAAATATAGGCAGTACATAAGTTTTTTTTAATGTAAGAATAAAAGCAATCAAACTAAGGGCATGGTAAAGCCAAAATTTTAACAAATTACATTTGTACACATTTATTTCCTTCTAAAAATTACTATTTTCAACTTAAAGCTAACCAATAAAGTAGATATCTTGAGTGGGAAGTAAGTACGTCCAAACTCATAAGATTATCTTGTGTTTCCCTTGATGTCGTGAATTTGTGTTAGAAATCTGTTTTCACTTCATCATATTGCGCAGGTGTTGTAATAACCTTAATATAACAGGGATTAATGATTTTTAGGTCAAGTCATCTCAAACATAATTGTGACCAATTATTAAAAAGTATTGTATATGATGTTGAGTTATTTGCTTATAGTTATATGTCGATCGACCGATGTAAATTATTATCATTTTAATTGAGATCATGAACCGACCAATATTAGACCACCATTTAAAACCTGGGAGTACTAGACGGCAATTTTGTCCCAGTACGAGACTCCTCAGCAATGTGCATCCACGACTTCTCTCACACAGACGCTTAACCTCTATACAAGTGAGCCAGCATCCCACGGTCCTAATGTCTAACTTCAACTAATCCACGATATTGCGCAACCATCGATTGTTTTCGGTGAGTACCTGCGTCACACCCGACACGGTTGAACTTCACTGGTCGTGGCTTCATGATCTCAATTAAAAATCAACAATCTGCACTATCCTATACTGATTAATATCGGTTCAATTATTGATATGGCTTTGTTTATGCTTAGATAATAATTACTTTTCATAATTTGTGTTCATTTTATAACATAACTTAATTCTTAAATAACAAATAGACTTTAGCAGTCTTGTTGTATGGTTAATGGTGTCAAATCAGTTACTTCCGGACACATGTGACTTCAAATTAATTTTATAGTTAGTGTTTGTACAGTTTAAAATAACAGTACCAATATAATAGAAATCTTTGGTAGTTAGTTATTGCTTAACAATGACTAAAATTTCTGAGTGATTGTACTTTATTACTTTTATAATTCCTAATTTTCAGTTTCTTTTAGACTGTCATAATCATTATACTTTTTTTCAAAATTTTTGAACACTATCAATTTATAACATACTTTGAGAAATGAATTAATACTTAATGGATAAGTCTATTAAATTTGGTGTTGACAATCTTGAATGTTTCACATGCTCTACAACATTACATTCATTATTACATTTTTATGAACTTAAGTTACTTGAGGCTGATGCAATTTGTTGTTGTATTCTTTATTTACTCGAAATGAAGTTTTGTTTTTATGATAAATTAGAGGCTGAAAAGCTAGCTGAGGTTTCTGCAATAGAATGGCGATCTAAATTAGTTGCTCAAGAGCATGAACGGAAAATCAGTGAAGTTGCGGATGCCACACAACTTGCCCGATCTAAAGCACTTACAGACGCAGAATATTATCGTGCCATGAAAGAAGCTGAAGCAAGCCATTTAAAGTTAACTCCAGCGTATTTGGAATTAGCAAAATACCAAGCTTTGGCACAAAACTCCAAAGTTTACTTTACCGGTGATCAAGGAAACCTTATTATGGATCTTTTGAATCAAATGTCTTCAAGTTTGTCTAAATCGAATGTGTCAACCAAAGATCAGGTCTCATCTTCATTTGTGTAACGTTTCTCCATTTTTTTAGTAATTATACTATCTAAATAGTTTTATATTTCATTCGAAGTCGTCTATTTATGTACATTTTTGTAATATTGTATAATAAACCAGAAACTTTTTATTTGTCAGTTCTTTATTTTTTATACATACCAACTACAAATGTTATGCTTCATTTTCTAAGCCACTGATCTGTCATCATAACGTATGCCCTTGCAAATGATGTGTTTATGTCTTGGGGGTATTAAGACCCATTAGTATGTTTGTGATATTAGTAAGCGAAACGTTTATATTTATTAGCTTAAGTAGATTCTGCAAGCATGCAGATTTACTAGATAGAAGCAACATTTCGTGTTACAAAGAAAGCTCAGTAAAACATTTGTAACGCTATTGCTGATTAGTACAAAAGGATGTTTGACATTCACTGCGATTACTTTGTTGATTAAAACGGTAGTTTTGAAACATGCGACTTAAGGCTTACCTTGGATATCTGTATATTATGTTGGGATATGTAGGTGCATGGTTTAGCACACAACCATGAAATCTCTACTTTAGGTAGCTCAGCCACAGGTCGCGGGATATCCATGTCTCTACTGATGACATGACTGTTGGCGAAGTGTTTCTCAATTTCTGCTTAATGGTTTCTCTATCGAGATGTGCCTGCATAGTCGTCAAGGGTGTTAAAGCAGGTTTGGAAAATTATGTCTAGTAGTTTTTCAGCCGAATAATCACTAGACCCAGATAATACAGTAGTATTGATCCTCTTAGAGACTGTGTAGATCCTGTGTACAACGTCCTGTCGTTTTACGTGTTTACATCAGTTTGTCACAAAAATAATCTCTTAAGGATTACTTATCTAAAGCTTGGTTCTTTCTCGGGCTGGCTCGTTAATTTAGTCCATTTTGCACATCAGTGCTTTATTGTAAGCACTGTTAAAGATCTTTTTGAGTTTCCTCAGTATTATTGACGTGACTAATTGGTACATAAATGATGTGAGGGAACCATTTGGAATTTATTTAGAAGTGTGACTATACGCAAGCTCCAATAATGTTTGTCATAATGTTCGCCATATTTAAATATGTTCTGTGGTGTATAAGAGGATATTTAATTGACTTCAGCGAAAAAAATAAAGGAAGAAAAAGTGGGATACGTAAATGACTTGCAAAACAATTGGAATAAGAGGCAATATCTGTATTACGAAGAGAAGTGAAAGGATAGAATTCGGCGACAGGATATGAAGTTTGTGCAGAAGGTGCTACGAAAGTATAAATTATTGCGACGAGTAGTCGTCAAGTGTCATTTTGTGTGTGGTGTAGATAAAAAGAACCTGTAAAAGTGGGGAAACTACCGTTCAGTCTGATGTCGAGTGGATAGTGTTGTAACAATGTTAGAATTAGGTAAGGTCCAAGTAAATGCTGGTTACTTCTTGGGTTGACTATATACGGGCAATAACAACACCGTATGAATTAGGTTATAAAAAACCCAAGCCGGTACAAACCGAGAGATGGGATTCAACGTCACACGCTTTTCAAATAGGACAAAAGTATTATTCCTCCTAGACTTAAACTTACTGTTTTGATCATAAACTATGAGTCAGAATTACTGTTTACACAATTATTGACTTTATTTCAGTTAAACGGATGTTTTATTGTGTGTACAGACTTTGCTTTTGTGTATTCATGGCATCAAAGCATACTTGATCGAATTTAACTTGATTTATTAGGTTAAGGTTTGAGATTTCGTTTTTACATATCGATTTTTGTGTTATCACTTTTAGTTAATTTTTAAGATGGTCGGCTCTGCTTACAAATATGGACAGCCATATTCCTTGTGGAAGGAGGAATCCAATGTAATGAGTGTGGTTTAATGCGGTTCAATAAGAGGTGTACTTGCTTGAATTCAACTTCCAATAAGGCGTGTCAAAAACCTAACTCTCATTGGCTCTGTATGGTTTGTTGTTCGAACAAAATATTACTCATGCAAGAGAAGAATTAGCCTTCTGTCGTTGGCTAACAAAGAGTTTGACAAGGGCTTTGCCGGTAGCATGGGTGGTGATAGCGGAGAATGAGTTAGTGTCGTAAGTGCTGTTACGGTATGTGCCAGCCACTCGACCGTGCAACACGTAATAGGGCTTCCTGTTCCAAAATAATTAATGTGCGATGCACCATTAAATACTGGTAACCAAATTGCAATAGCAGCGACTGATGGATGAGACAACCATTATCATCCGAGTAGTTGTAATGTGGATGTTGCGACTGTTCGAATATGGATGATGCGGGAACATAGAAGAGAAAGAAAGCTAGCCACCAATAAATCTTGTTTAGTTGAAAAGTCCTTGGTGAACTTTTCGTGCCTGTAGGTAACCCTCGCTCTATTGATAGAAGAAGCCAGACTAGTGATGAATAGGTTCTTATTTAGATCGTCACGCAGTTACAGTGGAGCGTGGGATTACCTACACAAACACAAAGCTTCTCAACACTCAATATAAGATAGAAAATATAACTTTGCGACATAATGAAGTGAATGAATAATTGAGCTCTATTGTCTTGACATATAGTTATTTGAGGTCAACTCTTAACTAATCAATTTAATCTGTTTTATTAGCTCGTAGGATCGTCGGTTCTATTAATCTATCAGCCAAGTAAACATACGTTCTGTTTCCGCAAACCAAGGGAGTATCACCAACTTACTGGATGCTTGTATTCTAATGGATGGTGACATACTCAGTCAGCAATCAGTCATAATTCATGGATGTCTCCTCATTTACTAGCTTGTTACCTTGTTTTGTAGCATTGAATTTTTTGCACAATTATTGTTGAAGGTTCGCTATGTGCCCTCTGTATAGTGATCAGATCTTGTTAGATAAAGGAGAGTGAGAAGATGTAATAAAGATATCTGAGGAAGTGCTGCGTCAACTGGATGTACCTGCATCCCGGAGTTGTTTACTCCTGGACTCGAACCCAGTACCGTTCGCCTCAAATGCCATCGCGTTATCCACTCAGCTGCTTAGTCTTGATGGCCACCCACTTGTGCCATAGGGTGAAGTTTGAATTCACGTGGCGTTGTTTAACCTGTATCTTTCCATTGTTATTTAGGACTGCAATTGATGGCATCCTGTGCGGATTGCCTCGATATAGCCTCAGGTCAAAAGCGTTTTAAGCAAAGATGGATAGTGGCTGGCAGTAGATTTTAGGACGCGCATTTCATCCACATCATGCGTTGCAAATTACCCTCCTAAAGTCCCAAAGTAAGACCCTAAATGGGAAACGTTGACCTCATCAAACATGGTCTTGAGTCATTCTCTCAACTCCCATGGCTCAATTGCAAGAAAAATTAACGCTATGGTGACAAGAGATAGCAGGCATGATCTGACATCACTGTCGAAAGTCATGAATACGACTTTTATAGAAGTTAAATACGTTCTCAGTTCAATTATTTGAAGTTTAGAGGAGTCGAAAGCTAATGACCCTACCAAGAGGCATACACACGACCTGAAGTTAATGAAATCTGTCATCAGACGTGTACTGCTTGAATAAATTTCAGGGGTGCATATCACCAAAATGAGACTCGGTAATTAGGTTTGAGGCCAGACCCAACCAAGAAGGTTCTTGAAGTTGGTACTCGGGTATTTTGATGAAATAGACGTACTATTGAATAACGCATGCCAAAGTCATGATTCGAGTTAATAACTTGGAAGATGAATGGAGAAACGAACCATGCGATCAAGGGTTCTCGGGTAGTCAGGTCTTGTAAGCCAAAGCTGCTGAAACCTGTTTGTGTACAGAGAATTATTGTCAAAACTCTTTAAATGTGTGTTACCCGAACACCCGTAGTCTTCGAAATAAAACGTCCGAGCTAAGCATGATGGTGGATGAATCAGGTCTCGATAAAATTGTTGTCACAGAAACTTGGCTCCCATTATTTCGGACCACATTTGTATTAAACGTAATAGACTTATAGGTCGCAAAGGTGGAGGCATAATGTTGTATGTTAGGGATCGCTTTCGCACACAATCAATCATATCAGAGACGCATGTTAGTGGTACATGTGAGATAGCATTTTGTACAATTAAGTCTTAAAACAAGTTAGTGCCTAGAGGAGGAATAAACCGTAGTCCTTGTTGTCTTGCTGATGACTTTGTCTTAATACACATCTATTCTTGGAGTAATGCGAAATTTTGTTATAAAATTAGAGACTTCAGAGCACCGCATATCAACTGGGTAGAGCTTAAAGACCCAGGTGAGGGGTTTCGTAGCGACCTTTTATCAAGCATCATTCAGTGTGCACTCGTACAATGTACCGAAAAACCGACACATTTTGACTTGGAACTTGACCCATGATTGCTGGACCTTGGTTCTCACACACCACTGAGAGGATGTCATCGACATTCAACACCTCTCGCTAGTGAGTAGTGATTATGTTGCACATTAGTTAAAGTTCTGGATACATGGTATACAATATTTATCTGCTCGAACCTGTCCAACTATTTGGGGACGAATGGAATAAGTCTGAGGATACATTCGAGTCTGTAACATCACTGTTCATCACATGGTCAACATATGAGCTATCACATCGCCCTCCACAAATTATTAAGGAAACCCGAAAGCTGTTGAAGGATAGGAAACACTTCTGGGACTTATTTTTGTCGACAAGACACGAACTATTTAAGTGTAAATAATAAAAGGTTCGGAATATATGTAAAAAGACCATAGCTAGATGCCGCATTATTTACGAAAGACGTTGGCATACGACTGCCGTCTTTGTCCGAAACCATCCATAGAAACAGTACATGTGACTGAGAAAACTGTTTTTCCACTAGTCATTAATCTCAAACCTTGCAAGATACCGAGCCCTAATGAGTTACATCTACAACTGCCGTCATCTCAAGGCCGCCGGCGACGCTCATTAACATGTCGCTTTCATTCACTCAACATCCCACAGATCGGAAAGACGTTTGGGGATGGTCGGCCTGTCAGTCTAATCAGCACTTTCATTAAGCCACTTGAGAAGATAATTTGGGTTAACCTACTAAGTCACATAGATTCGCACAATCTGTTGACAGGTGCTGTACAGGAACGAATATGAAACTTCTTATGTGTCCGCAGACAGAAAGCGAGAGTTTATGGGACG